TGGCCGGCCTGGTGAGCACTGGTCACAAAACCCCAGCCGAGAGACGACGCATCCGTGTACACATCGAGCGAGGGCTCGGGTAGGCGCCAAGGCACTGAACCCCGAAAAACCCGAAGAGGAAGCCGGTGACGCAGCAACCGACGCAAGGCCCCCGGGGGTCGAACTCTGCGATCGCGAGAGAGGCGGAAGGGGGAACCCCGAAGGAACCAGAACAGCCGTCGAAGCCAAACCCGACCCGGCGGGTAGACCACCATCGCGAAGTTCAGGCTCCCGCACAGCCCCTCGAGCAACCGCCGGGTGACCCGAGGGCCCTCCAGAAACAGACGAAGGCGGGACCGCAGCCGCAGGAGAGACTCCGGAGGGAGAGACAAGGAGGCGGTTCGAGAGTCCCACACGAGACCCAGCCAAGTCCGAACCTGAGAGGGAACCAGATGGGACTTCCTCCAGTTCACCAAGAACCCGAACCCGGCGAGCTGGGAAAGAACCAAATCCCTGGCTAGCAAGCAAGCTGACTGGCTGGGAGCCCAAACCAGCCAGTCGTCGAGGTAGGCCAACACCCGAACACCTAGGAGACGCAAACGAGCCACCACAACCCGTGTAAGGCGTGTGAACACGCGAGGTGCCAGGTTCAACCCGAACGGGAGACAACGAAAGCGGTAACTCAGACGCCCCACAACAAAACCGAGCCAGTCCCTGAACCGCGGATGAATCGGGACATGCCAATAAGCGTCCCGGAGGTCCAGGGACACCATCCAAGCTCCCGGCTCCAAGAGGAGCCGAACCTGAGACAGCGTAGTCATCCGAAAGGAGGGGCAATGAACCCAGGGGTTCAGACGGGACAAGTCCAGAATGAACCGCAGGTCCGCGCAGTCCCGTTTCGGAACCGGAAACAGACGGGAAACCCATCTGAGGGACGACGTCGTTTCGACGACGCCCAAGCGTACCCACTCCAAGACGACTCGACAGAGCGCAGGGGAAGAAGCCTGCCCTGCCAGCCCCGACCCCCCAAAGGGGGGAGGGGCCACCCAACGCCACCGCAGGCCGCGAGACACGACCCGAAAGGCCCACGAATCGTGGGACCAGGCGCGGGCGAACAGCGCAAGCCGCCCCCCCATCGCCCCGTCAAGGGGGCAAACCGCGAAAGGGCCGGCGACCCTTACGAGACCCAGAACCCCGCACAGCGCGAACACCGCGCCGACCAGACGAGGGAGGGTCCGCAGGAGGAGCCAACCCCAAACCTGACACCAGAGGCCTACCACGACGAGAGGAACCCCGAGCCCTGGCACGACCTTTCCGGGAAGACCCACCCCGGGACCCCCGGAAAACCAACAAGTCCGACATCGGACGACAAGCCGCCGACGCAGCCTGAATAAACTGCGCCACGGCCGACTCCCCAAACAGGAGAGGACAAAAAGGTGAAGAACGCCTAAGAGCCAGAGCCCAAGCAGATTCCACGGAGGAACCCAGCACCGCCTGCCGACACGCGAGACGGGAAGCATAGAACAGGGAAACCGCATCCCGCAAAATCGGCGTGAACAGCTTCAACAAGGCAGCCGACGAACGCGCAGCCGAGGACAAGGTGCCGGACCCCGGGACGGACCCAAGCGTCCCCACATCCTCCACGAGCCAATCCGAAGACAGCTCCAGGAGGGAAAAGAACCGCAAGGCCGAACACAAAAGGCCCCGGGCGCGCAAGTCCTCCGCCACGAGCGCCGCCGAAAGGGAGGGAACCTGCACATGGAGCTGAATAACGCCCACATCGCGGGGAAGGGCAGGGGCAAACAAGCACTCATTCAGGTACTCAAGTTCACCCCCCAGGAAAACCTGAAGCACCGTGGAAGCTTCCCGCCACTCCAGCGTGCGGGAACGACAGAAGGAATGCCAGGAATCCAGACCAAACAAGGGGCAGTCTGCTAGCCAGGACGACTCCGGAACCTCGTAACGGAGCCAGAAAGGGAACGAAGTCCCAAACCTGAACGTGGACGGATCCATTTCCGAGGCATAATCCGGGTCACGCAGGAGGTAAGCTGCAAAGGCCGCTCGCACCACACCAGGTTGGATGCGATAAGCCGAAAACCTCCGGAAGGACGGAACCGACGTACCCGGGGGAACACGGAACCGAACCCGGGGAGGGGCCGACACCAAATCCAACTCGTACGCAGAGGGGGGAAAAGAAAACCCCACTCCTTGTAACAATAAGCCCCGCTCAGTGGGAAGAAAAACCCAGGCGGGGTCCAGCGGGGCCCAAGGCCCCCAAGTCAGCCCCTCCCCAGCCTCGAGGTCCGTCACCACAGGACCCGAGGCCGAGTCCTCTCCCCAAGCCCCGACCCCACAAGACAAGGACGGAGCAGCCGGAAAAGCTGGAGGAAGGGGGGCCCACTGGTCAGACCCTGAAGCTTCGGCCGGGAGACAAGACTCGAATGCCTCTGCCGCCCCCCCGGAAGGGGCAACCCCCGAAGCTGCCCGAGTCTCGAGATCAAGTAACCCCTGCTCCGACCCCGAAACCCTCAGACGCTTCGGGGCCGGAAGCAGGGGCGGGGGACCAGAACGAACAGAAGGGGAAGGACGAGGAGGTGCGGACTGAACCAGGATCGAAGCGACCCCCACCCCCAAGTCCGGGTCTCGAAAAGCAAAGCGGGGCAGCCCCGGGGCATCCGGGGAAGCAACCAACCGAGCGCGTTGCAACAGACGAAACCTAGACTGCAACGCACGTGCCGCCTGTACCCGAATAGAATCATCAGAGGATTGGGTAAATTGAGTCACAAGCAAGCAGCAACACTCACAGGACTCAGGGTCGAAAGTATCACCGACCCAACAGGCAGCGTGGCAGAGGCAAAAACAATGAGGGTCACCCTGAGACAAGGGGACCGAGCAACCCTCAAACTCGCACACAGCGAGTGGGGACTCCGGGGTCACATCCATCGGACCCACGCGCCCCCTAGGGGATTCCCAGGGTCCTGAGCGTTTACTTTAAGAGGACTCGCGCTCAGGTAGTCCCAGGCAGGGTGCTGCAAACCGGCGCCCAAAACTACCAAGCAAACTTCTAAAGCTGAACCCCAGGGACGTGTACACTCACGGGGACCTAGCAGGGGGCGCCACCGAGGAGAACAGTGGAAGGGCAAAAACAAACTGAATAAAATGACAGAACCCCCCACCAGGCAAAAACAAAAAGAAAAACAAAACCCCGCAAGAGGACAGCGAACCCCAAGGAACAGAGCCGGCCGCGATGTCGGGAAATACAAGCTGAGCAGCACCCTGCGCCCCTACCAGTGCAAACTGCCTCTTACCTGCCGGTAACAAGGGAGAACAGAACACCCAAGAGCCCAACAGGCGGCCGAAAAACCGAAAGGTAAAACGGACCAGCAGAGGCAGACCCCGAGGAGCCTGTGGAAGGTGGCCCCAAGCCCCAAGGGCAGTACTTACAGGGCACCTAGGGAAGGCAGCCCTAGGCGCATGCAGCCCGAGTACTGAAGATAACTCCTGGCTCTCGCACCCACAAAACTAACACCACACGCAAAGCACAGTGCAGTAGCGACACCGGAGCCAGAGCACACGACCATCGCCTATAGCATCAGCCTCAAGAACTGAGGTGTGGGTAGCCGGCGCGGGGGGTCTGGGGCTCCCCCTTCCCCCTCCCGGGGAGGGGGGAGCTGCGCAGACAGCGGCGCGGCAGTGTGTGACGTCACACTAGTTTGCTTGTTTTCGGTTGGGGAGTTCTATCCACTAGTTCGGTTTTTGGTAGCAATTTTAACCAGAATAGGGGTTTGTTTTGGGGCGCTTACCTTTCTGGGTGCCTGTTCCGGTCGATGGCAGACATAGAATGCTTCCAACTACACGGGGGCTTCTATAGGCCATTGCTCCCCTTGCCTCTCTGAGGGGGCCCGGTTCTGGCCGTGGTCCCCGGTAGGCCTAAGAACTCCATACACATGACTGATGCCAAAGTCTGACATTAGCATATCAGCCTGGGATAGCTCCGGGGAGCCGACGGGGCTCCCCCCAGAAAAGTTTCAAAAACTGTTGGCATTCTTTCTAAGATCAGATATTATGTACCCGGCCCTGCCCTGGTGACTCTATTACTCCCTCATCTATCCATATCTCAACTATGGTATTTGTGCTTGGGGCTCTACTACCCAAAATCATTTACGTCCTCTAATTACTCAACACAAAGCTGCTATTAGGACAATATCCAACTCTGGCCCCAGACATCACTCGGTACCCCTACTCAAATCTCTGAATATGTTAGACATTAAGTCACTGCACATTCTCTCATGTGTATTATACATATATAAAATGCTAAACTGTAATGCCAATCCTGACCTCAAAAGCTTCATAAAAGGTTGTAACAGAACCCATGAGCACCACACCAGAAATAAATACAGTTTTGATATTCCTAGAGTACGACTTAATCAAACTAGAAATGCTCTACAAATCAAGGGACCCAGAATGTGGAATGACCTTCCCAACCATGTTAAAGACTGTACCTCTCTCAACCAGTTTAAGATAAAAACGAAGCTATACCTAATAAATTCCCTGTAACCTACCTTACCCCTCTATTGTCAACCCATGTATGTTTTTTTTTTTTTTTTTTTTTTCAAATCAACGCTGTTTTTGTCGTAATAATTTGTAATTGTATTTGTGCTGCTTTTTCAGCAATGTTCCCCCCTCTTTTACCCCTATTTTTATTTGTACTCAACGCATTTTTTTCTTTTTACTCAATTAGTATTAAGCTTTAGTCTTTAGTGTTTTTCCTGCCCGAAACGCTTTGCGTAATAGTGGCTTTAGGCATTGTATGTACTAGCTCTATCTATAAATCCATTATTATTACTTTGGAGACGCCATGGTATACACAGAAAATCTTGTATGTATGTACCTTACCTCAAATAAACATTGTTTCCGGTTGTCAAATAATTAACATTTTATTACAGAGCTCTCTTTAATAACCCCACCCCCAACTTTTACTCGCCTAGTTGTGTGGGAAATGAGTTGTGCGAATTTAAATTCATACAGTCCACTCAACTAAACATACAATCCGCTATCATAAATTATAAAGTAGAATTAAAATAAATAAAAATCCCACGAGTCAAATTTCCCCACAGTACTGGAACCTACTTTGTTTCTGATATACTTAAACAATCGCCAAGTGGGAATGCTCATTCCTCTCATTGTTTGCTGATGATGCTAAAATTATGAGAAGGATTAAGACAAAAGACTACCAGATGACTTGCCAAAGTGAAGGGATGGTCCAACAAATGTACACTAGTTTTAACTGTTTAAACTGTAGTTTAACAAGTAAATTAATTATAATAGGAGTAGGGAGCAGGAAGCCGGTCACAAGGTACCAATTTGGAGACGAAATCCTTGAAGAATAAAAAACTGGGATAAATAATAAGTTTGGATAACGTCAAATGAGAGAACGAATACAACCTTTATTCTAAATACTAACGAACTAGAATGTGTACAAAAGCTTCAATTAAATATTTAAATGTCACACAATGGCACTGTTTGAAAATATCAACATTTAGAAATAGGTCATTAAATCCTAGAACAAATGGCCCAACTATTTTTGTTATATACCTATCAAAATGATGCGTCAAGTATATAAAAATAAACTCAACAAAAATATAAAACTGCAAATGACAACTGTATCATAGTTTACCATTGTTGGGGATAGGATGCCTGCTAAGCTCATTCCTTAGTCCTTCTAGCAAACGCCTGACCATCAGGCTAACCAACATGTAACGCTCAACATTAGATTAATGAAAGTCTATGAAGTTTTGCATTTGTGTGAACGTTTAAGTTGATGGTTTAATTTAACTTTAAATCTGTCCTAGTAACTCGAAAATTCAATACTTGCAGTAAACAACTTCCTAAACAGATAGATTATGCAAATTATAAAATTTTCTTAACTATGACTTAATTACATAAACATATAACTGTTTTGCTTACCTATGTAGATCCACTCCAGAAGTTGCTCCGTGACGGAAGACGACATATTAACTTTAACAAACACTTGCTTGATGGGACTTTTCAAACATTGATTTTCGAGTTGCTTCAATGGTGTCCTTGACTCGCCAGTGGGGAAGCATATGCCACCATCTGATGGAAGGGGTTCTGTGTGAAAGGTATCGGGTAGTTCACCATCATTTTTTTCTGGAGTTCTGAGCATTCTCCTGCTTGGTATCTCCGCAAAGGAAGGGCTAGGGGTGCTAAGATGCTTGCTAGAAGTCACGAGACGCTTGCTGGGGGAGAGGGAACGTTTGGTGGGAGACAGGGAACGCTTTGTGGGAGACAAAAGACGTTGGCTGGGAGACACAAGACGCTTTCTGGGAAACGTTGTAGCGGGGGTCTGAAGTTTGCTGGGAGACACCGTGCTGTTATTTAGACGGTACTTGTTATGAGACGTCATACCAAGCTTGCTGGGTGTTGTTCTACTAGAACTGAACAGACATCTAACAGGTGAGCCGCTGATAGGTGGTAAAGAACGACCCTTAGCAAGTATGCTTGAAGCACTTGAGAGCTGCAATTTCCCACAATTGCTACTGGAGGAATCTGGCGACAAGGAGGTTACTGAACAACATATTGATGATACTCCTTCAAAGGTACTGTTGAGTGGCGTCTCGGCTCTGGTCAGGGAAGGCTTAGCACTGGGCGTCCTCGTACCTGCAAGAGGTGTTGTGCTGACATTTTCGGATTCATGGCTCTCTCTCCTCGACTGAACCTTTTGCAAGAGGTTCGAGCGGGCATTCAGTATTGCGCAGTGAGCTGGGAGTCTAATACCGTCACTAGTTAATATTTCTATGTCACTGTAAACTCCAGTCTTCTGCAGTTTTCCTAAGTGACGAATCAGATGTTCCCTGGAATCCAGTGTTTTAGCCATATCATGTTCACTCACCACAAAGCGTAAGTGAGCTGTCAGCACATCATCTATCAGGAGCTTGAACACATCAAGGGTCACCCTGGAAACAAGAATTCCCTGCCATTTCCAGCCACCATCGCCAGATCGTGCCAGCCTCTTCTCGTGTTGATCTCTGCCTTTAACACTGCAATACACTTCGATACCAGGATGATTTATATTACACTTGACACACTCCAGCGATATTCCAATGTTACTGTTCATGGGGTCTTGGCTGGCACACACGTTTTCTTTATGAAAGAGTGTGAGAGTGGCCTGCCAGCTGGTCCGCACACCGTTCACAGACAGTACGAAGTCTGTGGTGAAGGTGTCGCCCAGCTCCCGGTAGCAGGAGAACTGACCAACGGTGAGAGTGTACTTCACTTCAGCTGTGCTTTGCACCACTTCCATTTTTTTTTTTTACTTCAAGACAACCCGTTATGATGAACTCTAAGACAGAAAAAAATGAAACCTAATAGATCAGTACAGCCAAAACCTACTTACATCCAAAAATTAAATAACATTTAAATTACAGACCGGCTCCAGAGGCGGGGCTTTTAAGAGTTAATACTCAAGCATGAAGGCACATGTAGACACAGTACACAGCCGGGGCCTTACACATTGGTACACTCCCAGTTGTGTACTCGCCTACCTGTGCTCCACCGGTCGACCCCACTACTCGTATACTGGTAATGAAATCACTGACTACTATACATTCCTTATTATCACTAACAAACGTCACGTGAAGTACACAATGTGAACATTTTAAAGTGTAAGAATATAATGCAAAACCAGATACGTTGCTTAGGCCTATGATCTGAACTTAACGGTGAAATGTCTTTTATAGGACTACATTACGTCATTAATAAGTGGACTGTTCATTGATATTGTCAGCACCGTCAGGACGGGTCAGTAGTGTCTGAAGGAGGGGGGCCAGTAGTGTCTGGAGGAGGGGGGCCAGTAGTGTCTGGAGGAGGGGGGCCAGTAGTGTCTGGAGGAGGGGGGCCAGTAGTGTCTGGAGGGGGGGGAAGAGAGTCAGTAGTGTCTGGAGGGGGGAGAGAGTCAGTAGTGTCTGGAGGGGGGGAAGAGTGTCAGTAGTGTCTGGAGGGAGGGGGGGGAAGAGAGTCAGTAGTGTCTGGAGGGGGGGAAGAGAGTCAGTAGTGTCTGGAGGGGGGGAAGAGAGTCAGTAGTGTCTGGAGGGGGGGGGAAGAGAGTCAGTAGTGTCTGGAGGGGGGGGGGGAAAGAGAGTCAGTAGTGTCTGGAGGGGGGGAAGAGTGTCAGTAGTGTCTGGAGGGGGGGGGTGAGAGTCAGTAGTGTCTGGAGGGGGGGGGAGAGTCAGTAGTGTCTGGAGGGGGGGGAGAGAGTCAGTAGTGTCTGGAGGGGGGGGGGAGAGAGTCAGTAGTGTCTGGAGGGGGGGGGGAGAGTCAGTAGTGTCTGAAGGGGGGGGGGGAGAGAGTCAGTAGTGTCTGGAGGGGGGGGGAGAGAGTAGTGTCTGGAGGGGGGGGAGAGTCAGTAGTGTCTGGAGGGGGGGGAGAGTCAGTAGTGTCTGGAGGGGGGGGGGAGAGTCAGTAGTGTCTGGAGGGGGTGGAGAGAGTCAGTAGTGTCTGGAGGGGGGGGGAGAGAGTCAGTAGTGTCTGGAGGGGGGGGAGAGAGTCAGTAGTGTCTGGAGGGGGGGGAGAGAGTCAGTAGTGTCTGGAGGGGGGGGGGAGAGTCAGTAGTGTCTGGAGGGGGGGGAGAGAGTCAGTAGTGTCTGGAGGGGGGAGAGAGTCAGTAGTGTCTGGAGGGGGGAGAGAGTCAGTAGTGTCTGGAGGGGGGGGGAGAGAGTCAGTAGTGTCTGGAGGGGGGGGGGGAGTGTAGTGCTGTCTGCACGGGTCACCACTGTCGGCACGGGTCACCACTGTCTGCACGGGTCACCACTGTCGGCACGGGTCACCACTGTCTGCACGGGTCACCATTGTCTGCACGGGTCACCACTGTCGGCACGGGTCACCACTGTCGGCACGGGTCACCACTGTCGGCACGGGTCACCACTGTCGGCACGGGTCACCACTGTCGGCACGGGTCACCACTGTCGGCACGGGTCACCACTGTCGGCACGGGTCACCACTGTCGGCACGGGACACCACTGTCGGCACGGGACACCACTGTCGGCACGGGACACCACTGTCGGCACGGGACACCACTGTCGGCACGGGACACCACTGTCGGCACGGGACACCACTGTCGGCACGGGACACCACTGTCGGCACGGGACACCACTGTCGGCACGGGTCACCACTGTCGGCACGGGTCACCACTGTCGGCACGGGTCACCACTGTCGGCATGATACACCACTGTCGGCACGGGACACCACTGTCGGCACGAGTCACCACTGTCGGCACGGGACACCACTGTCGGCACGGGACACCACTGTCGGCACGGGACACCACTGTCGGCACGGGACACCACTGTCGGCACGGGTCACCACTGTCGACACGGGACACCACTGTCGGCACGGGACACCACTGTCGGCACGGGTCACCACTGTCGGCACGGGTCACCACGGGTCACCACTGTCGGCACGGGTGACCACTGTCGGCACGGGACACCACTGTCTGCACGGGACACCACTGTCGGCACCGGGTCACAACTGTCGGCACGGGACACCACTGTCGGCACCGGGTCACCACTGTCGGCACGGGTCACCACTGTCTGCACGGGACACCACTGTCGGCACGGGACACCACTGTCGGCACGGGACACCACTGTCGGCACGGGTCACCACGGGTCACCACTGTCTGCACGGGACACCACTGTCGGCACGGGTCACAACTGTCTGCACGGGACACCACTGTCGGCACGGGTCACAACTGTCTGCACGGGACACCACTGTCGGCACGGGACACCACTGTCGGCACGGGTCACCACTGTCGGCACGGGTCACCACTGTCGGCACGGGACACCACTGTCGGCACGGGTCACCACTGTCGGCACGGGTCACAACTGTCGGCACGGGACACCACTGTCGGCACGGGTCACCACTGTCGGCACGGGACACCACTGTCGGCACGGGACACCACTGTCTGCACGGGACACCACTGTCTGCACGGGACACCACTGTCGGCATGGGTCACCACTGTTGGCACGGGTCACCACTGTCGGCACGGGTCACCACTGTCGGCACCGGTCACCACTGTCGGCACGGGTCACCACTGTCGGCACGGGACACCACTGTCGGCACGGGTCACCACGGGTCACCACTGTCTGCACGGGACACCACTGTCGGCACGGGTCACCACGGGTCACCACTGTCGGCACGGGACACCACTGTCTGCACGGGACACCACTGTCGGCACGGGTCACCACTGTCTGCACGGGACACCACTGTCGGCACGGGTCACCACGGGTCACCACTGTCGGCACGGGTCACCACTGTCTGCACGGGTCACCACTGTCTGCACGGGACACCACTGTCGGCACGGGTCACCACGGGTCACCACTGTCGGCACGGGTCACCACTGTCTGCACGGGACACCACTGTCGGCACGGGTCACCACTGTCTGCACGGGTCACCACTGTCTGCACGGGACACCACTGTCGGCACGGGTCACCACGGGTCACCACTGTCTGCACGGGTCACCACTGTCTGCACGGGTCACCACTGTCTGCACGGGACACCACTGTCGGCACGGGTCACCACGGGTCACCACTGTCTGCACGGGTCACCACTGTCGGCACGGGACACCACTGTCGGCACGGGACACCACTGTCGGCACGAGTCACCACTGTCGGCACGGGACACCACTGTCGGCACGGGACACCACTGTCGGCACGGGACACCACTGTCGGCACGGGTCACCACTGTCGGCACGGGACACCACTGTCGGCACGGGTCACCACTGTCGGCACGGGACACCACTGTCGGCACGGGACACCACTGTCGGCACGGGACACCACTGTCGGCACGGGTCACCACTGTCGGCACGGGTCACCACGGGTCACCACTGTCGGCACGGGTGACCACTGTCGGCACGGGACACCACTGTCTGCACGGGACACCACTGTCGGCACCGGGTCACAACTGTCGGCACGGGTCACCACTGTCGGCACGGGTCACCACTGTCGGCACGGGACACCACTGTCGGCACCGGGTCACCACTGTCGGCACGGGTCACCACTGTCTGCACGGGACACCACTGTCGGCACGGGACACCACTGTCGGCACGGGACACCACTGTCGGCACGGGACACCACTGTCGGCACGGGACACCACTGTCGGCACGGGTCACCACGGGTCACCACTGTCTGCACGGGACACCACTGTCTGCACGGGACACCACTGTCGGCACGGGTCACCACTGTCGGCACGGGACACCACTGTCTGCACGGGACACCACTGTGTGCACGGGACACCACTGTCGGCATGGGTCACCACTGTCGGTACGGGTCACCACTGTCGGCACGGGTCACCACTGTCGGCACCGGTCACCACTGTCGGCACCGGTCACCACTGTCGGCACCGGTCACCACTGTCGGCACGGGACACCACTGTCGGCACGGGACACCACTGTCGGCACGGGACACCACTGTCGGCACGGGTCACCACGGGTCACCACTGTCTGCACGGGACACCACTGTCGGCACGGGTCACCACGGGTCACCACTGTCGGCACGGGTCACCACTGTCGGCACGGGACACCACTGTCTGCACGGGACACCACTGTCGGCACGGGTCACCACTGTCTGCACGGGACACCACTGTCGGCACGGGTCACCACTGTCTGCACGGGACACCACTGTCGGCACGGGTCACCACTGTCTGGACGGGTCACCACTGTCTGCACGGGACACCACTGTCGGCACGGGTCACCACGGGTCACCACTGTCGGCACGGGTCACCACTGTCTGCACGGGTCACCACTGTCTGCACGGGACACCACTGTCGGCACGGGTCACCACGGGTCACCACTGTCTGCACGGGACAACACTGTCGGCACGGGTCACCACTGTCGGCACGGGACACCACTGTCGGCACGGGTCACCACTGTCGGCACGGGTCACCACTGTCGGCACGGGTCACCACTGTCGGCACGGGTCACCAATGTCGGCACGGGTCACCACTGTCGGCACGGGTCACCACTGTCGGCACGGGTCACCACTGTCGGCACGGGTCACCACTGTCTGCACGGGTCACCACTGTCTGCACGGGTCACCACTGTCTGCACGGGTCACCACTGTCGGCACGGGTCACCACGGGTCACCACTGTCTGCACGGGACACCACTGTCAGCACGGGTCACCACTGTCTGCACGGGACACCACTGTCGGCACGGGTCACCACTGTCTGCACGGGTCACCACTGTCTGCACGGGACACCACTGTCGGCACGGGTCACCACGGGTCACCACTGTCGGCACGGGTCACCACTGTCGGCACGGGACACCACGGGTCACCACTGTCTGCACGGGACA